ATAGAAGCTATGCAATAGCTTAAAAACATCGCGTAAATTTAAGAAATAATTATATTTAGGTTATACTGCCACTACAGCCTATCCCAGTCCATTGCTGAACATTCACCTGCCCATAGAATTTATTTACTGTTAATTATATTATATTGTCTACTAGTGATCCCCTCCGGCTTCGCTCGGGTGATTTTTGGATCTCAATAACCTCTGCATGCAATAATAAAAATGTCCTTCAGACCGAATTTCGGTCACGCCAGCCTCAACAGAGACTAGCCATCGGCGCAGGACAGGGTTATAGTGCCCAAGTGTATGCGCAAGCACAGATGCACTCTCTATTCCCTCACTCTCAATATCCGATGGGACGGAAAACCGACAAGTCCGGAGAGAGACCAGGCGCAGGACTAAAGGCTTAACGTGCTTTCCGAGGCACGGGGGTGAGACACTGCCAATTTCCTGACTCTGGACAGCTACTGAGAATTTCTTGACGGAAAAACTCAATAATTGATTTTACCTATACATGTATTGTGCATATACACCTTCCTCTCGAATCATTCTGTCTATTGAGGAAACCGCATCTAAATCCGTTGCACAGTTTAAAAGATCGACAAGAGAAGCGACTTTGTTTTATAGAAACAGGAACAGAAACAAAAACTTTTTTATTCAATGTAGATTACAACAATACTTATTGAAAGACACTTTTTTCATTTACCACTGGTTCGCAAAAAAAAAAACCTCTGTCCTGGGAAGAACCAGCAAGAAGCCCAGCGGGACTATTTTTTTCCAATAATAGCTTACAATCATGTTTACAATTAACAACACAAGACAAATTAGAAATAGCTTGGAAGCGATCACCCTTCCCAGGGGTTATTATCATCCATAAATTCCTTAATATTATGATAACCCTTTTTATACAAAGTTAGTTTAATAAAATTTTTGATCTTTGTGTAAGTCAAATTTTGTATATTTTCTGGAATTTTGTTGTAAAATCATATACATCGCCCCAAGAATGTATTACTGACTCGGTGGAGTCGAGTAACTGGTACTACTAGCTTGTGTCTCTTCCTAGTATTTACAGAATGAATATCACTTATTTTCGCAAAATTACTTTTATTTTTGTGTACGTACATTACATTTTCATAAATGTATTGAGAGGCCAGAGTTAATATATAAATTTCCTTAAATTTTTGTCTCTCTTTTGGTTTTAAATTATATATTGCTCTAATCGCCCTCTTCTGTAAAATAAATATAATTGCAGTGTCAGTCGCGTGTCCCCATAGCAAAATACCATACGACATAATGGTATGGAAATAACTAAAGTAAACTATTCTAGCTGTTTCAACATTGGTAAAACTTAATTATGTTTATATATATATATATATATTGCTTTCGTATTCATGTCTACAAATGTATAAATATAAATATATTTTGTACCCTTTTTATTTAATACGTAGTTTGCCTACTGGCGTATTATTTATCTGTAAAATAACCTATATTCACATAATAAACAGAATTTATTTTATTAGAAAATGCCCCAATAGACCACATGAAAGCAAAACAATTCCGATGAACGAAACACTTATTGAATTAAGCTGGAAATTTATCCACGCATTAAACTCGACGCCAAACTGCAGCCTCAAAGTGACACATTTTCAAGGAAATGCAATACTGCAATATCAACTGTAAGCCTTGCTTTTGATCCGATCCTTTGTGACCTCGCACTGCACGACTTTTTCTCCATACGGTCCATTTTACCGGAAACTACAAATCTAACAAAAGCGAATGTGGTAACAAAGAAATATATTGCAAAGAAAATTGAAAGCGTGGTTGCTGGATAATTATACGTGTAATTATAGTCAATATTGAATTAAAAGTAATAGTGAAAATTAAACGTATTTTTTTTATTTATTAATTATTAATAAATTTAAACATAATGAAGAACATAAATAATACAACTAAAGCGGCACTTTGTAGCGGCAGTAGCTTAAGGACAGTGCCCGTACCGCAAAGCCCAAAGATCGTAGGTTCGAATCCTCCACTCTACTACTGTCGTGAATCACTCCTCACACTAGCGTTCTTAGGACTAGGTTCGGAGGTACTAGGAGAAGTTAAAGGGAATATTAGTAAAGTTAATAGTGTTATAAGTTTTCTGTTTTTATAAAATAAAAATAAAAATAAATATAAAAATAATAAGTTATATCATAGACGGCCCCCACCATTACATCAGATTTGATAGACCACAAATCTTTGCAAAAGAACATCGATACCTGCCAAGGATGATACGTGTGGCTATTGAAATAAAAAGCATCCTAATTTCAATAGAGAAGGCTGAGTACTACCGCCTGCTTGGGATCCTTTAATTAATAAAAGTAAAACTAAATTAAAGCACACCACTGCAAGACTTCAATACAGTAAGTTCGTTCTGCGTAGATCTGACCATAAATAATAATTAAAAGGCTGAAGGTACTCCGGGTAAGCACTGACATCGGGACGTCAATCACCTCAGTTCCCCGTAATTATGGGTGCTGGAAAGCACCCGAAAGGTCGAATATTAAAATCAAGTAAATTAAACGCGATAAAATCCGTAAAAGTAGTTTTATTCAATAATTTTACTTGTGTTACATCACATATACATATATTTATGCATATGTCCATCAGTCAATTAGCTATTGGGAATAAACATTTTTCAAGTGTTGCCGATAGTGACTCTTAATCCTGTTATTTTAAGGGTGACAAACAACGTAACTATTGGTTGGCGCATAGACATCTACATCTATCCTCGGTTAATAATCAAAATGTTGACGCAATATCACCTGATTGAAGATGGAATGCCCCGTTTCCAGTAAGAAGAACCTCCGGTTCTCCACACTCACTATACGAACAACAGCAGCATTGAGCTACTATTTTACGCTGGTATCTGAACGTGATCCTTCCCCGGTCGAGCCGATCCATTTGTGCTACAAATACAATAAAGCTGTAGCATGGCTCTACTACGCAAAAAGCTGTTATGATTAAGATGATGATGATGATATACTGTTACAGCATTTGCTTACGTGAAGGAAATTTGAAAGAACTTTGAGTATTTTTTTAAACGAAACGTAAGCCTCATCCAAACATTTGTCAAATGTGATAGGTCTAATTTGCGGAATATTCAAAAAACGATGCAGCCCTCCTGCGAGCTATGCCGCAGTCAGCGAGTCGGTTATAAGCCTCGAACAACACGTTGGAGTAACGAAATCCAAAGCTCACTTCAATCAGAAGGCCACAAATATCCTACATAAGCTGAATAGGCGCTGGCAAGCTAAAGGTAAACGTTAACTCTGCTAGTTAAACTTGTTGTAGCTTTGAATGACACAAGTGACAAGATTCAGCGAGTTAATGAAACATTTCAAAACGTATGTATGTATTTAAATTATAGCTATGGAGTAAAGCGTTGTAGATATGATGTATTCAAAACGTTAGTGAGGGAAAACTTCAAAAGTGTGTAACGTGCATACATAATTGGACGTGGCAAAGCCACGTTGCAGTTATAATAGTTGTAGCACGATTGCGTTGGCTTTGGAAAGGAGGAAGGGATTGGATTGGGTAGAACCACGCTGTCACAGATAACCAGCGTAAAATAATATGAAAACACTGCTGTTTTTCGTATGGTGAGTGTAGAGAACCGGAGAAACTTTTACTGGAATCGAGGCATTCCATCTTAGTCATCGTGACAACGCATTTATAAAATGCAGATTTCTATGGACCTCAGCATCCACTTACCACCCTATGGTAAGTGTACACTGTGGACTGTGTGCTCGTTTGTCACGCAATTGAATTAAAAAAAAACAAATAAACAAAAAAAAATTATCCGACTTTAAACAAGCAAAATAGTTAAAACAGTGATTTAAAAAATCTGCCCGCGCAAAAACCCTTCCCCTCCCTTTTTGTAATTACCGTTACATCCTATTAAAGTTCTCTACTAAATCCATGGGGAAGGTATATGACCAGCATTGAACTTTGGATAGATAGACTGTAATGAATGAATGGATTTAAAAAAAAAGTTCTATTGTTTGCAACATACACCACAATCGTTACAGAGTGATACGTTTGCGAGGGGTAAGCAAACCACCGAGCGCTCTAGATTCTACTGTCGTGTAGTTTATTGAGTACGTTTTGTTATGGTATATACATTTAATATAGGTAAGAAAGGTTTGAAAATGTTTAGTTTTTTAACAATATTTTGTTGCGCAAAATTATAGTACGATATTATATTATATAATATATATAATAATAACCGGCATTTACAGAATTTACTTTTCATAATGATTTATGGTAGAGCCATGATTTACGGTAGAGCTATATTAGTAGTATAGTTGTAGCACGAATGAATCAGCTCGACCGTGGAAGGACCATGCTCTCACAGAAAACCGGTGTAAAATTACAATTAAAATAGCAGCTTAACGCTGCTGTGTTTCGTATGGTGAGTGTAGAAAACTGGAGACCCTTATTACTGGAAACGAGGCATTCCATCTTAGTTCTCTTCTAGATGCAGATATCTATGGGCCGCAGCAACCGCCTACCATCAGGTGGAATGTGTACTCATTGGCACCTATAATATATTTATATACAATATATAAAAATATATTGTATATAAATATATCATATAAAAAATTAATTTAAAGTTAAATTAAACGCGATAAAAATTAATTAACTTTATCACGTTTAATTTAACTTAACACTACCCTATATCGTCACTTGAGTGTCGTAAGAAGCTACAGAGGGAAACTCAAACAGGGGATGGGTAGCCTTATCTTTCTACCTGATAACTTGCCAACGTGGCAACTTTGACTAAATCAGGGGGGATAAGGCAATGTACTAGGGAGGTCCACCAGTGGACTCTTATTTACCAAAATGGATAGACGAAATAGAAACATTTTCTCAAAGGTAAGTCCGCGGTGATATGCCCTATGTTTTAACGCTGTTTCTAGTGTTTTGTAAGTTTAAACACAACAGCAAGTTAGGTTCAATTAGTGCTTAACGGAGCGCTGCGAGTCAACTGAGTGGAAAGGTACGCAAGTGTCGTATGTTGTCCGGGGTATACGCTGAAATATATTTAATTATATTGAGTACGTTACGAGTACTTTTAATAATTACTTTTATTCATTTATATATATGTAGAACCCCAGCGTAGTAGAAGACGTTGTCCTACCAGTTAATATCATATGCGTTCAGTAAAGTTTTTTATTAGAGCGATATGATAACAATTTAATTTATTAATTGCCGCGCTTGATTGAAAAAAAGCAAAATTATCAAAAATTTTGTTTGTTTCTAAACTTCTTTTTTCAACTTTTTTTGTTTCTAACAAAAAAAAGTTGTCTTGTAAAAAAAAAGTTTTCTTATAAAGCTTCTCCATTGAAAAATACATATACTGGGTATTCTTTTACCGTCTGGAAAAGAATGGATTGAGACAGGGGAACGGAATAGAAACCTGTGGCATTGCTATTTTACAATTTCATTTTTATTTTACATTAACATATTATGAAATTGGTCTATCAATAAATACATATCTGAGAAATAAGAAAAAAAAATCAAATACATGTAAAATTCGCCAACACGCATTGGGGTAGCGCGGCGCACATTTTCTTGCCTTTAAACTTATTTGGAAATGAGAACAAGCCTGTTCCCAGCGATGGGACTAGTATATAGGCTGCAACTTTAACTTTAACTTGTTTATATATCGGCCAAAACAACTAAGTCTCAAGAGAATTATGTGGAGTAATGTGATGAGTTTATTTAAAACAAATCTATGCACATATTAATAATAAAATTTATTTAATAACGAAATAACTGTCTTTTGTTCAGTTTAGGAGGTATGTATAAATGAGAATTGTATAGATGAGTTATAACTGTTCAAATGTCTTAAAGATAAATAATGTAATCCTTACTTGGTGTTAATAAAAATTATTATTATATTATGGGGTATCTATATAGTTTTCTCATCTGGTTGGGTTCTATAAATATATAATTATAAATGAAAATGAAAAAATAAATATACATAAATATCAATAACATAAAATATTATTATGTGTATTATATGTATTATTATTATTATTATGTGGGGTATCTATATAGTTTTCTCATCTGGTTGGGATGTATAAATATATAATTATAAATGAAAATGAAAAGATAAATATACATAAATATCAATAAAATAAAATAAATACAAAAATACATAAATAAATAAAAGCCCAACCAGATGGAAGTCCTCGGCAGGGGAGACCAAACGGCCAAGGGTTAGGGGGAAAGGGAAAGAAACCGGCGGACGATGCGGGCAGTATCAAGGAGCACCGCCTTCTGCATTTGAGCCCGGAGCGGTCCGTCACGGAGTCCCAGTCGCCTCAGATGATCAGAGAGGCTAACTGGGATTAGCCCATTCGCAGAGACGACTACAGGAATAATTTCGGTCGGCATACCACCCCACATGTCGGTCACCTCGTGAGCCAGGTCCAGATACTTTGATTGCTTATCTGTTTCGGCTTTCACGAGGTTCTCGTCATACGGGACGGTAATATCGACCAAAAATATCCTTGACTGTGCCCGGTCCATCAGCACAATATCAGGCTTATTCGCAAGAATAGTCCTGTCTGTGATGATGGCCCGGTCCCAGTAGAGCCTGGCGCGGTCATTTTCGAGCACGGCTTCCGGCAAGTACTTGTAATACGGCAATTTCCGGTCCACGAGACCGTATTTCAGAGCGAGCTCCTGGTGTAGAATTCTGGCTACTAGGTTGTGCCTGTGCAAGTACTCAGAGTTAGAAAGCGCCGAACAACCGGAGATGACATGCCTAAGTGACTCACCGGGATGGCGACAAGCTCGACAGACGTCGACGGTGCCATCCTTTAGGATGTATCTCCGATAGTTGTTGGTCTTAATAACCTGATCCTGTATTGCACAGACAAAACCCTCGGTTTCCCTCGAAGAGGTCACCGAGACGCAGCCAGTTGAGGGAGGCGACTGTGTCTACGAAAGGTTCATGTAGAGCCCTGTAGTACCTCCCGTGGAGCCCTTTCTCCTTCCATACGGTCTCCCGGTCGGAAATGCTAAGCACTGCTGGGTCCTGCCATTGCTCGTTGGCTAAGGATAGAGGGGTAAGCCCTTTATCACTAGAAATGACGTCATTATAGAATGGATCATCCGATCTCGCCAGGAAGTAATGACGGAGGCTGCACACTTCACGATTATGCATGGTGAGCGCGCTCAGAAAGCCACGCCCACCATGCTTTCGCGGCAAGTACAGCCTCATTACCGACGATCTCGGATGATGCATCCTATGGGACGTCATGGTAGTGCGGACTTTTCTATCCAGGGCGTTAAGTTCAGTCTGACTCCACCTGAGTATGCCAAAGGTATACATAAGGACAGGTATGACCCAACCGTTATATGCGTGTGTCTTATTCACACCGGACAAAAGGCTATTAAGCACTTTGGTCAAGCGTGCATAAAACACGTCGCAAACTGACTGTTTCATACCAGCCTCATCGATACCGATGTTCTGTGACATACCCAGGTATCGGTATGTTTCAGCCTCGGAAAGGGTCCTTAAGTTGACGGGCATAGATAAATCTATGCCCTCAGAGTTAGCAACCCTTCCCCTTTCAACATGGAGGACCGCACACTTATCCGTCCCCAGCTCCATTCCAATGGAATTGCTAAATTCACAAGTGATGTTTAGCAATTCCATAAGATGGGAGCGACTGGAGGCGAATAACTTGAGGTCATCCATATAGAAAAGGTGGGTCACTTTTGCCCCTCCTTTCCGTAGCTGAAATCCTCTCCCGGATCCCTCCAGTAAGGTACTGAGAGGGTTCAGGGAGAGGCAGAACCAGATTGGACTCAGACAGTCGCCCTGGAAGATACCCCTTCTTATCCTTATGTGGTTCTCCGCAGCCATCATCCGCTCACCCAGATGACAAAGGATCGTACTCCACTGCCCCATACACTGCTCGAGGAAGTCTCTCACTGTACAGTCTATCTTGTACAGCTCGAGGACTCTCTTTAGCCATGTATGGGGCACCGAGTCGAATGCCTTTCTGTAGTCTATCCAGGCGGCGGAGAAGTTCCGACGGTTGCGTTTCACCACTTTGCCAATGACCGCGTCAATGAGGAGTGGTTCCTTGGTTCCACGACCACCGCCCCGACATCCATTTTGAGCGCGTGACATCACCTGATTTAGCTCCAGGTGACGAGTGATTCTCGCGCTCAAAATGGATGTCAGTGTCTTATATATGGTGGGTAGACACGTAATGGGGCGGTATTTGCTCGGGTCTGTGGTAACCTGGTCTTTAGGAACCAAATGAGTGATCCCAGTAGTGAAGAGGCTAGGGAGCGACTTCTGGTTGAGAGCCTCTTGAAACTGACGGGCGAGCACAGGGTGACACACCATGAATCCCTTCAGCCAGTAGTGATGTAGTTCCTCGAGTCCCGGACTTTTCCAGTTCGGGGCTCTACGGACCGCCTCAGCTACGTCATCCGGCGTTATGATGACGGGGTCCATGGGCGTAATACTCGCACACTGACTCGCCACAACTTCCGTCCAAGAGCCCTCGCTGTGGTTTACGGGCTCTGACCACAGGCCACGCCAAAATGCGACAGTGTTAGCCTGATCCGGTCCTGGGCCCGCTCCACATACCTCTGGTCGCTCCAATGATTTGTAGAGCCTCTTCTGATCACTCTGGAAGAGACGATTCTGGTTGAACCGCCTTGACCTCTCGGTAAATCGGCGAATCCGCTTCCCCCAAGCAGCAATCTTTTGCTTCAGGTCGTCTATGCGCTCCGTTAGTTTCTGCGTGATATCCGGCTGGGACAAACTGATTTTTGATTTTTTGATTTTTTTTATTTTTTTTTTATTATTATTATTATTATTATTTTCGTGCTTGACATGAACAACGAATTTTACAACTTTTTGTTTGTCAGTCTGTCCAGGTTAATCTTCGAAATGAAAATCTTAGAATGATGTTTTATATATAAAAAGTAAAATAAGCGCTTTTTTGACTGACACACTATTAGAAAAAAGGAAAATTTGAAATCACAAAAAAAATGCACAGCTTATTCCGTAAATCTGCCAGTAATTATGTTTCGGTAATATTTTGAAATTCTTTGGCGACAATCTCTACTCTGTGCTAGTGTTTGACCACAGATTATTAACACATATATATATATATATATATATATATATATATATATATATATATATAATTTAAGTGTTCATTTGTAATGTCAAAATAACAGCGTTTAACTTAATGCATAGGAAAGCATATAGGTACGATACTTATGACAAAAACAATTTATAAAACGAATGTTTGTCTGTCTGTTTGTTCCGGCTAATCTCCGAAACGTCTAGATCAATTCTGACAAGACTTTCACTGGCAGATAGCTGATGTTATAAGAAGTAACTTAGTCTATTATTAATTTTAGAAAAATTATTAGAGTTCCCCGCAGAAAAATTAAAACCAATGGAACTGAGAACAAAATCCGATTCGGTAGAAAAGTATAATATTAAATTAATAAAAATAATTATTCTATGCGAACGAAATCGCAGGCACAGCTTGTATATAATATAATGCTTATATTTACCCAACAAATGGCATAATTTGTCCAGGCGACAATATGTGTTTGACATTGGCTACATGAACCTAAATAATGAGCGTTTTATCATATTCAATTGAATATATGTTACAAATGTAACATATAAATTTTAGCTTTCTTTTGTTGGAAAAGTTTTTCGTTTCTCTACTATCCCCATACGAAACACAGCATAATTAAGCTGTTACTTAACGCTGGTATTCTGTGAGAGCGTGATCTTCCCCGGTCGAGCCGAGCCATTCGTGATACAGCCATAATATAGCTGCAGGTTGTCTCTACCACGTATAATATACAAAGAGCAGGTAATTATACTTCTTTTACTGCTTTACTACTTGTTTAGACTGCTGATAATGTGGTCCCGGGTTCAATTCCACTATCGAGCCTAAATCATCCCGAAGTCAGGAATTTTGAAGTGTTTCACCCCTCTTCGAGTCGGATTTCTATCCTATCGTACTATGAGAATGAGTGAATAGAGTTTGCGCACACTCATGCTCTGTAATTTTGTCCTACGCAGATGGTTACTCTCCGTTGAAATTAGTTGCTGTGACCGAAATTCAGTCTAGGCGATATTACCATACGGACGTAGCGGGCTACACTTCAACCGGTACATTCTTTATAAAGACAATAAATGTGTTCCCGAACAGATAGGAGGCGCAATAAATCCTTATAAGGTGTGACCCGAAAACCCCCCATTGTTTCGTAGTCGCATCGCATATATAAGAATTTATTCGGGGATTTGATTCCGGTACCCTAATGCGCAATAACGCGACGATAAGGCTTTCGTTTTATTTCGGGGACCATTTTACGATTGAGGGGCGTAAATTACTGCGGAGATTGTGATCTCGCGCATTTAACTTCATTTCAATTAATGATGAGATTTAGAAGTATGATCCCTCTACTTGTTCCTCTGAAACTAATTCTTGTTCGATTTATGTATATTGTAAGATAGGACGCCAAACTTGAGACATCTAATGCCGTATCTAGTAGTTATAAATAAAACTTTTAGTAATTAGTAAAATTGATGGGGCTTCAGTCATATTTCTCCGAAACAGTCCAGTTTTACTGTAGTTCCGAAGTAAGGTATGTGTACCTCGGCAGTACTAACTTTAATTAAAATTTTAATAATTTCACCTTTTTGAGTGGACAAGAACTTTGTTTAAAAGTTAATTTAATATATACATCCCCTATTTTCCACATTTAAGGAACGATTTTGTTTAATTTTTTTATAGAATATGAGTGACAAACGAGCATATAGTCCACCTGATGGTAAATGAATGCTGTGGCCCATAGATATCTACATTTATCCTCAATTAAGCATCAAAACGCAGATGCGTTGTCTCCCCTGAGGACTAAGATGGAATGCCTCGTTTCCAGTAAAAATGGGTCTCCGGATCTCTATACTCACCATACGAAACACAGCAGTATTAAGCTGCTATTTTACGCTGGTATTCTGTGAGAGAGTGGTCCTTTCCCAGTCGACCCGACCCATTCATGCTACAACCATAATATATCTAAAGTGTGGCTCTACCACGTATAAATTTATAAAGTTTTCTACGTGGTTTGAGCCAAGCTGCAGCTATATATGGCTACAGTACGATTGGCTCGTCTGGACCTTGGGACCACGTTCTTGCTTAATAGTGTTTCGTATGGTGTATGTAAATAACCGGAGACGCAGGCTACAGATAAGTTGCCAGCTCTGAGGATTTGAAAAGAATTCCTCACAGTCTGAATTTATACAGGTAGTTTAAATACAGTGTGTGTAAATAAATGGTAACTTATGTAGCATTAAGCTGCTATTTTACGCTGGTATTCGAGCTGTAGTTATTATACAGCTGCAGTCTAGCTTATACTTTTGTATAGTTCCATCCAGTTTAATTTACATCGAAACCTACTTTTTTGTTCACGCTGCAATCGTTTTTTCTCTTACATCTTTATATTATGAAAAGCAATTAGCGTAGGTAAACATAATTCCTTCAGTTTTTTTCAACTTGTTCTCGTGCTTTCAATTGCACCTTTAGGCGGTCACGACCAGGTTACGTTGCATTTAAAATCTGTCTTTATAGCTAGGAAATAAATTGTCCGTTTTAAAAACAAAATAACTACTTTTAACTGGTTGCTGAATAGAACATTTCAACATGAGCCCCTCCTGTAAGATTTGACTTAATCGCCATGCTTCTGTCACAGTTTATAAAAGTCCACTGCTGAACATAGGCCTCCTACATATATTATCTCATAGAGAGGATTTCGCCAAATTTGCCACGCTTGATAGGCGAGTTGGCCAAAGCAACTGAAGTTTAGTTGTTCTCCGGAAAATGATGTTGCCCATGTCCGGTTTTAGTTCCTTTATGTCGCCTCTTATGACATCCACAGGGCTTTATGATATAGTGGATATTCTTACATCGCTACTTCACAGTTTATTATGACTGACATGCTTGGCAGTGATGAGATTGGCGATCACAGTAGTTCGATTGAATAAAAGAAATCTCTCATGTTATTTAATGATTAATTATTGTCTGGATATTTTCCATCCGACGTAAATGAGATTTATTTATAGAATAAAGGTGACAACAAGCACACAGTCCACCTGATGGTAGGTGGTTGCCGTGGCCCATAGACATCTACATTTATCCTCGATTACGAATCAAAATTCAGATGCGTTGTCACTCCTGAAGCCTAAAATGGAATGCATCGTTTCCCGTAAAAGGGTCGTCGGTTTTCTACACTCACAATACAAAACATAGCAGCATTAAACTGATACTTTACGGTGTTATTCTGTAAGAGCGTGGTTTCGATCGAGGCGACATATTCGTTGTACAACCATAATATAGCTACAGCATGGCTCTACTATTTAAGAAGATGATTACACCATCATGTAATGGAAGCCGTGATATCTTTAGCTTTTCCATACCTCTTGTGACAATCATGAGTTTTGAGAAACTAAATTTTGGTCACGGCAGCCACTCTCTACAGAGATCAGCCATCTGCACAAGATTATAGTTCTCAGGTGCGCGCTAGCACAAGTGTACTTTTTATTTCCTCACTCGCATAGTCCGATGGGCGGCTATCCGATACGAAGGCTGATGAGGCGCAAGACCAACAGCTTCACCTACTTTTCGAGGCACTTTATTGACTTTCACTTACTGACTCCGGGCTGTTACTGTGAACTTCTTGACAGAATTTTTTAACGGATTTTTGCACGACCCGGGATTTGAACCCGGAACCGCCTAATCAACAGCCGCGCTTGCGATCACTAGACCAATTAGACAGCTTTGTGTTGGTGGATATTTTAAAATCATTGTAACACGGTAATCACTTCACTATCATTATTAATTTAGACGATTTCATGTTAATATACAATCCCATAAACTCACGAGTAGTTATCGCGCGTTTAAATCTTGATTATAAAAATAATTTAAAACTATAAAAAATAGAAAATATAATTTGGGTTTCTTTTTAAATTTACAAACAAAACTTCTATCTTAGGATTAATGAATCAAAATGTAATGTAATTTGTAAACATGCATGCTCACTGCACAACCTAGTCTTTGCTTAGTTTTGTCTTACAAGTGAAATTTAGTAATTTCTTTAGACAATAAATGTCTTTATACCTGAGTCGGATTCCATTAAGTTCCGTTTAAATAGTGAATTAAGGAACGCGCCTTACTTCGTCTAACTATGCAGTCGGAAGGCTAACGACTTGAGGTTTCCTGCCGGGTGAACTTGAAAGCCTTACGGTATTCAGTGACGCTGCATTGGAGACTGTTTGCAAATGCTTCCAGCGGATAAAGTTCGCTTTCATAAAATAAACACGTGTAAAAATTGCTTATTTATTGAAGTAAGTGAGACTGGGATGAGTCTAGGTAAATTTTTTTGAAGATGGAGTGACAAATTAAATTAACGTCCATCTGATGGCAAGTTGTTACTGTCTGCAGTCCACCTCTGATGACAACGATAGCATGCCCCACATTCTTTTATTGTACTCGCTTTCTATATCCTAGAGATCGAAACAAAGAAGTGCAAGCACTATTATTTGACCGCAGAAATAGGTATCGGGGTAGATAGCATACCTAAAACTGACTGGCTCTTGGGTAGAAAACGAATGCCGTTATCTACTACGTAGTAATACGGACAAACGTGGTAGGGTACCAATTACTGAGCTATGTATCCAATTCAAGCTCTTCACTGTAGTTACTGCTTGCTATGTAAGGAATTTCAGTCACTCAGCCAGTCTTGGAGATATGCGCGGAATTTCTCTTTGTGATATCCTACATCATCCGTAAAGTAATGTATAGTTACAGCCTGTATAGGTCCCACTGCTGGACACAGGCCTCCCCTCATTTCTGAGAGGGTTTTAGGGCAAGGAAGTGTCCGCCGCGCTGCGCCAATGCGTGTTGGCGAAATTTACATGTCTTCGAAATATTTTTTTTTATTTTTCCTCAGACATGCAAGTTTCCTCACGATGTTTTCCTACACCGCCGAGCACGTGGTAAATCAGCACTTAAAATTGCAATTAATAATTTCATTGGTGGCGGCGGGGATCGATCCCGAGTTACTCGCGTTTTGTTGTATTTACTGCGAGCGTTACCCATTTAAAGCTACCACGGCTCTCGCACATTATCCGTAATGAGAGTATATTCGCAGAAGACCCATTTTATTGGATACGAGGCACCTCAGTCCTCAGGTGTGACAACACATCTGCATTTTGATACTTAATCGAGGACAAATGTAGATGTCTATGGGTCAAAGTATCCACGTACCTTCTAGTAGACTGAGTGTCCCTTTGTCACCCTTATTTTGTAAAAAAATTATCAAGTACGGCATAGCCCGGGTGATCAATTGGCTGAGTGACAATGGACCGGCCAAATAGTTCATTAAACCGACAATCGATGTGGAAGAAATGTTCTCGAATGGTAGTCGCGTAAGACGCAGTTAGGTGACATTCTACTAGATGAACTGAAAACTTGAAGAAACAATTCAGGGAGTCGATGGATGCAGATAGGACATACTCTTTCTTGATTCTCTAGAAATTTCTCTGATCCAGTCTATATAGTCTTTAGCGTGGCTATATCACATTTCGCTTGATATAAAAGAATGGTGAAGAGTAAAATTTAATTGTTGTAAGTACACGCACTCACACTCAACCAACAAAATGATTTTAGTTACAAATGTGTGCGTCTAGCAGTAAAGTTTTACGGACTGATAAAAAAAAGAAGAAAGAATTGTGCGTCACTTCAAAGGTACGCAGCACTCAGTCTATCATTCCCTTTTAAGATAATTAATAGAATCAGACGTTACATTGCGGAAATCCATTATAATAAAGATTTTAATAGATACTTTGCAACCATCCGCTTAATAAAATATAATGATGTGTTCTTACCTAGTTTGAAGAGCACCTTCCGCCCTCCCTCAATTGCGTGCACTAATCCCGTCACCACTAATCTCAGCACCACTGCTCCCAACACCACTATTCCAGGAAAGACACACAATCAACGATAATACGACACGTGTTTTTCCTCTACACGAGGCGTCTTCAGGTGATTCTTCAGTATGCGTGCCTGGTGGAGTCGCGATCGCAGCGGACACTCACGCAGTTACACTGCATGTACATGTACGAACCACATCCAAAGGTCGACCACATTCGTAAATTTTAAAAACTATAATAGTAACAGTAAAAATGTCCTTTGGTTGAAATTTGTTTACAACGAACAAAATGAAGAATCATCTTTGACACATAATCAATCACGAACCGGATAGAAAGTGTCCGACGAGCGATTGGAGTGACAGATTAATTCTTAATAATACATTAATGATTTTTACTGGAAAATGCATAGAGTTAAAATCCGCTGTCCCATTTCTTAACGATCGTTAAGTGAAGAAATATAATCATAACTATTATAACATATTATACTCTCTGTCCCGGCTGATGTAGTTTTCACCTAAGTTGCGGAGAGGTTATTCTAAAATGTGCTACATCGAAAGAAGTGTACTGTTGTTGTTTTTTATAGAATGAAAGTTATGAACAAGCACACAGTCAACCTGATGGTAAGTGGATGCTGCGACACATATACATCTACATTTATACTGGATTAAGAATCAAAATGCCAATGAGTCACTCCTGAGGACTAAAATGGAATACCTAGTTTACCGAGGAATATTATTTTATTTTAAATTAGTTTTTAGAGTTATTTCTAATTGTATATGAGCGTTTTGTAATATAAAAGACTATTATCAAATTATATCACTCTATTAGTGTTATGGTGTACCAAATACGCTGGCTACGTTTTCTCAGTGAATGGTTATATTTTGGACTTTGGGCAAGAAATAAAAGAAGATTTTATTCTAAATTTAAACAATTTCTTCTTCGTCATCAGCCAGTAAAGTCCACAGCCGGACATGGCCATCTCCTGCTGTAGGGGAGATTCACCTTAAGCATCATGTTTGGCAGGCGCTTAAAGATCACACTTAAAATCAAATATTTTTATTAAAAATTGGCTTTTACAAAGCACTTTATGGAAGTCAAATATTACGCCAACGTTTCAACAATACACTACTGCGATGCGACCTTGTGAGAAGTGTCTGAGGCCTCGCACCTTCACCGTTACTGCCCGTCGCTGGTCCGAATTACCTTCTTCCGGCGTTACACATGGTGTTCAAACCTCCATCTGTCGGAAGCTATGAGATATTGCAGTTATTTTTTCATAGAATAAGGGTGACACACAAGCACACAGTTCACCTGATGGCAAATGAATGCTGTGGCCCATAGACATCTATATGTCACCCCTGAGCTGAGGACTAAGATGGAACGCCTCGTTTCCAGTAAAAAAGGGTCTCCGGATCTCTTCACTCTTCATACAAAACACAGCAGTATTAAGCTGCTATTTCACGCTTGTGTTCTGTGAGAGCGTGGTCTTCCCCGATCGAGCCGACCCATTCGTGCTACAACTATAATATAGCTGCAGCGTGGCTCTACAACTATGTAAGCCGTAGTCGTAAAAAACACAGTAGTTTGTAATAAAGATATTAATTAATTTGCAACTGGAGTGGTGTTGTTGGGAGTACTGGTGCTGGGATTAGTGGTGACGGGATTAGTTGCACGCTGTTGAGGGAGGGCGGGAGGTGCTCTTCGAACCAAGTAAGGCACATCATTTAAATTTAATTGAACGAATAGTTGCAAAATAACTATTAATATTTTTATTGTAATGGATTTCCGCAAAGTAACGCCTGATTCTATCATTTACAGTAGTTTGTCGTAATCAAATTAAGTAAAGACGCATACAGGACAAAGAAACATTCATTTATTTACTAATGTGTCCAACAGTTAAAACTTTATACAAATGGACTATGTTACACAACAGAAATAGATTGTAAAATTCTCTGAATGCTGTATCATTTCGTTATTGACAATTCGAAACCCTACAATCACCAGCGGTAACGACTTGATGATGTTTTTAAAATGGAAGTGCAGTGTTGGCAGTGTAAGAATATCCAGTACCCCATATCGTCCCGTGGGTGTCGCAAGACGCGACGGAAGGAAACTGAAACAGTGGGAAGCAGCATCTCTCTGACAGCAAAGCAAAATAATAAAATCTGCGGTTGGCAATCCGCTTGCCAAGCGTGGCAACAATGGCAAAATCCCCCCTACGAGGCAGTCTATTAGCTGTTATATATAATGGATGGATGAAAGTTACTAAGGGACTTAAGTTCTTTAGACTTTTTTGAAGTCTGATTTACCATCTTTGTTTGCTTCACTACTTGCCATCAGGTGCGATAGTAGTCAACTTGACGTCCTACCACGTAATTAATACGTGGTAAAACCATGCTGCAGCTATAATATTATAATTTATGGCTGGGAAAGTACTCACAGAATACCAGCGTAAATTAGCAGTTCAACGCTAGTTTGTTACGTATGGTGAGTGGTAGATAACCGGAGACCCTTTTTACTGGAAACGCCGCATTTCAACTTATTCCTCATGACAACGCATCTGCATTTTTATTCTTAATCGAGTACAGTTGTAGACGTCTATAGGCCACAGTATGCACTTACCATCAGGTGGGCTGTGTGCTCGTTTGTTAGCGTTATTTTATTAAAAAAACACATGCAATCAACATTAAACAAAGAAGGCTATAAATGTGTTGCTAAGAGCCTCGTCCTACCACATAGTAAATGACTCACAGTCTTCTATTATACTGGCTCTCATATTTTAATACAAAACTCATTAGAGAGCTGTGCAGCTGTATGGTGACAATATAAGCACAAAAGTACTTTCCCAGAACAAAAACGGTAGAGAAAGAACCTCACCACCTACCTTATGGAATATTTTATCGTATTAATGAATACATACTCGTCTCAATTATATCCATTGACGGAATTAAAAAGGCAAGCAATTTTTTGAAATGCCGTCGAGAGGCTAAAGTCTCGCTCGCTCGAGCCAACTTAGCAGCAATTAATGTATTCAGAAAGTCTGAGACATTTCGAGAACGTTAGTTAATAATAAAGAAACTTGAAAGGATTTCTTTGTATTCGATTTAAATTCTCAACGATAACATGAATAGGCTATATAAAAGTTACTAAAAGTCTTCGTTTACTAGACATAAAGGAAACTTCATTAATAATTTTAAAACTATATAAACATACTAGCGACGCGCCCTGTCCTCGCCTGGATGGGATCTATGTATGTGACATTGCTAAGATATAAGATAATCATCGAATTGTCTTTGATGATTGTTTCATTAAAATCAATTTTTCGATTTAAAAAAAATATTTAAATTATTCGAATTAATTATAGCCTCGATCACTCC